ATTAAACCAGGATAAGGCAACTTTTAATTCATTATAGCTTCTAGATAGCACATATGGTGTTGGAAAGCATTTAGTACTCATTAGTATATACATGTATCACAACCATTGTGATCATCATCAATTATAGGGCAATAACTGTAAGACCATTAGAGAAGCGAGAAGCCAGAATTAAGGCTGAGATTGTACTTGAATTCTTCACCAACTTAGTGAGAAGGAAAGGTGCTTGTATTTCTTATCATTTGACAATACTGTGACACGCTGAGTGCTGAACAGCACTCATACACTGTTTGCCAGGAGTCTTCTGTTAAATAGCTGGGAAGAGACCATTCTTGCCCAGAAATGCAAACAACCTAAGTCAAAGATAATAAATGGGAGTAACAAATCACCAGAGCAGACAGAGGCCCTATCATCGGTGCTCAAAACTGTGATTTGCCTCCTGAACCACTGCATCACAGCAGCAGCAAAGGGAGTGAGCTCATGTTACAGTATTTCTGTAACAGCATGACTTATTTCTCAAAAACTACTCTTATCAGAATTAATAAAGACTTTCAGTTCCTCCTGGGACTGTATCAAACTCGGATCAAGTCAACACGAGGGAACTTGCCCATGTCATGCAACTATTTTCACTATTATAACAGTTTCGGAAAGCGTCATGTTCTTAAAACTATGCCTTTGCTCTTTTCTGAGTCACTACCTTGGAGAAGGTTTGAGGAAGAGCAGCAGTATTACTTTTCTGAAAACCACTCCGGTGTAAACAGACCAGATGCAGTCAGAAAGCTCCAAGGACCATCAGGAGCACGTGTGGCGGCCAGACAGACTCACCATCCAAGAATCACCTGGGGGCAGATGGCAGGGTTTCAGCAGGCACCACTGCAGCCCTGAGGCAGTACAGCAGCCTAGGGCTGCTCCTGACGCACATATGCAAGTTGCCAATCAAAAGCTCTTCTCACTTCCAATCTGTGTGGAATTCTTCTGTGTATGGGTTCAGGAAGCGAAAAAGACATTTTCTAAGTAAGTATGGAGAGGTTTAAAATTAATAATGTACTAAAATTTAATAGCCATGCTTTCTTTCACATTGTATGGGCAACTTTCAAGACCCGCCTGCACACCAGGTTATTACAATATTGTAAGACATAACTTAACCCGAGCTTTTCAAGCAATGAAGGGTTTTGGCATGGAAATAGACGACTTGACACAATGAAAGGAGATTAGTTTCTAAATTCCAATGAAGCAGTAATCCCTGTGAATGAACTACAATTTAGGATGTTTTCTGTCAATTTAGAACACCACTTTTAAAGTAAACAGCTGTTTTTCAAACAAAATATTTACCTTTAAAATTAATACATGAGGGAGTTTCAATGTAAATTTTATGATTTCTATTATTATGTTTGCTTTCCATACTTGAATAGGATAAAAATTTATTTCTAAGCACACCATTTTTAAAAGTTTCTCTGAAAACACATGTCTACCTATTTGAAAGAAGAAAAATCAAGTCAAAAATAAAACCCCTTTAAAACAAGTCAAATTGCCAACCAGAAAACATCTGAATAAAAGAAACCTCTAACAGCCACATTTGTTATTACACAGGTTCTTTTGTGAGGGTTGAAAAAGTAAACACTAGTACAAGCCCTGGCACAAAGTGCCCTCTGAAGACTGCTCAGTTCAGGAACAAGCTGAAATCACTGTGATGAAATTGCAGTGAAGAAATCATGAAAAAAAAGCTTTCATCTGCCTCTCTACTGCTAACAAAAGAGGTTGGTATTTATTTTTGGGTTTAGTTCAAGTAACTTTTTAAATAAGATTACTCTTCATCATTACTAATTACTGTTAACTACTTCTCTGGCTACTATTCTGTTTAAAAGAACAGTTCCTGCCACCAAAATAAACCTTTACTTATTAGGGCAGTGCACAGATCACAGCACTGTATCTCTTTTAGCAGCTGGACAGCAAAGAAGAGGTAAGGTTACAACCATGTGTGCCTAACGCTTTATCAACCTCACACACAGCAACGAGCGTCCTCATAAAGTGCAAACGACACAAAAGTAGACTAGGAAAAACTGTTAAGTAAATTGCTGCTCTGCAGCTTGTCCTGTAGACTCAGAGCATTTGGAGATAGATGTATCTGGGCCATTTGGCTGAAGAATCATTACACTCCATCACTCCGCACCGTTCCACTGTGCAAGTCCTATCTGTAACTATCTTCTGTGCTTTTTAAGAAAGTTACATTGAATCTGCTAGCTTTTATTTTATAATCACTACTTCTATTTTGAATGAACTAGGAATTGTGTGGAAACAAAGGAGAGACATTGGTCTTACCCTCATGTTGTCTTTCAGAGTCATCAGGGTTTCAGAGGAACAGTGGAGGCATTTTTTGCAAACCAGCACAGAAGGATGTAAGTGAACCGTGTGCACGTTGCTGAGAAAAACAGCTGCCTCCAAGCGCTCCTTTGCTCGCCGCCATGAGTGGAGCGTGGGACAGGACGTCACTTTCAGGGGAGCAGCAGCTCAGCCCCGTGGACCAGCCCTGCTTCTCAGGTTGTGCACTACTCCCAACCCACAGTTTCCCACCATGCGGCCTCATCTTGACACAACACAAAGCCCTTCTGCACCGTGTCAGTGTTTGTGTGAGGGATTAAAGCTCCCTGTTCCCAGAGCAGCCTTTCTCCACCTGCAGGAGGAGGCTCAAGGAGAATTTGAGGGCACACTGACCCAGCCTGGTGCCTCTTCAGAGACACATGCACCAATGGGTCAGCCCAGGCCTTAGAGGTTCGGCGTCTTCGTAAGAGGCACGTGTGCTCAGTCACCACTGTCAGTCCCACCGAGATGGACAAAGCCTGGCCAGAGAATGGGCTTGGGCACATTATGATATTTCAAGCATATCTAAGCTGCTACTGCCCTTTCCGAGCCACTCCAACGTGTAACGGAGGGCTGGCTCCTGTCATAGTTTCACAATTTGTTATGTTTTGCTAGCACTTTAGTTTTCTCACCATTGAAACAGGAAGAGATGGAAAGAATAATGCAAAAATAAATGCCAGTGGAGGGAAAAAATGGGATAAACAAAGGTAAGGATGATTTTTTTCCTCAATTATTCAAGTAACATGGATATTTAATATTTTGGCTTCAGTCCCTGGTTACAAATTTCTGTTTGGAAAAGAAAAAGGCAATACAAAAAGCAAAGTATTTGGAAATACTTTTTCTTTCATCTCTCTATTTCCAAATTATTACCTGTTTCACACAGAAGATCTATTTCAGGCCTTCCACACCTTTTTATAAACTGCTGCTGCTTCCCTTTTACCATGGCTGTCTACCTCTTCTAGACGAAACACTGCGGGGCCACAGATGGTTGAATTATGGAGGAACTAGTCACTGGCCCTTCCTATTCCAAGTCTACCATGACGGCTAATCTGTCTGACCATTTCAGCTGCTGTTTCAGAATTACAGTCTTAAAGCTATAGGTACTTGGCATTTATTTTTAGAGAAACGTTCTTATTTATGTTATGATTTATACACAAATACCATAGTGGCAATTTTTCAAGGGCAATAACTTGCCACTAAGAAATTGCATATATTGATTGTCTGATACTAAACATTTTGAAGCTGAGACTATTAGCACAAGAGAACCATAAAACTCTGATGCTTTCATTGTTCTGCAAAAACTGTTTCATCTGACCAAGACTATTATACATACCCATCAGATTTCAACTCAGTCACGAGACTAAAAATGCCCAATTAGCTTAAGAAAAATTGTTTTCCAAGTACATACCCATATGATTTCCTCAAAGGCTACAACAGTATGTCATAAAAAGGAATAGTACTAACTATGTTTTCACAAAAAAAAAATTTCTAAAACATTTTAAATTCACTACAACCTTTGAGACAGTCAGTTTAGAAAGTAGCTCATTCCACAAATGAAGCCTATCAAAAATAGCATTGGATCCTAATACAGCTGAAAACATGTAACTGAAAATTTTACTATAAAGCAGTAATGAATTCAAAACTCAATTCCAGAGTGTTCAAGGTTAAATCCAAATGACCTTAAATTTATAAGTACAATTGACATCCATGGGTTTGTTGGTTTTTTTTTTTGGCATAAATGCTTTTTGAAGTTTTCTGTAAGTATTTTCAGCTTGATTTCAATTCCTTAGTTCAGACCATGACCTATTTCCATGTCAGTTCTGTCACTATAAGAAGTATTCTACCCAGAGCAGCAACATAGAAATGTTCCTTTCTTTTTTCCTTTTCTTTGAGTGAATTTTGTTTAAAAGACTATAAAAATCTTTCCTTCCTAGTATGTTACATATTCATTTAGCTTTCAGATGACGTAACTGACACTACAAATACTTGCTTCTCAGCACCTCTCTTTGCCCTAAACTTCGCAATTGAAGATGACATGGCATATCCCTAGCAACATCAGTGGGGTGTATTATTATTACATCCCTATTATTCTTCTAAAACTGAAGCAGATGACAAAATAACAGTTTTCTTTTTGAACACAATTTTGCAAAAATTATAGTGCTTGTCTGTGAAGCAAGGTGTACCTAAAGCAGTTCCTGTCTTGCACGAGCCCCTTGGAGAACTACAGCGCGGCAGGTGCACAGAGCCAGCACAAACCTGGCACGACGGGAAAACCAGCGTTGCGATCCTGAACGGACTGACAGCTAGGGGCACGATACTGGCGGGCAGCAGACCAGTGAAGGACACCATTTGATACGACGTGGCGATGTGTGTCACATGCACATGGGCCTTTTGAAAAGATGTTGTTAGAGGATCTAGTGCGCACAGACCTTTGCTCAGACCAATGACTAGATGGCGATTTTAGAGTAAACCAATAAAAGGTTGAAGATTATGTTATTAAATTAAATCCATGCAGACTGATCATGACACTGTTCCAACCTATGCTTCCCTTTATGCACTAAAATAAAAGACAGTTTCATACACTCCAGGTCCACTAACCCTTTAGTTGGTGGAGCTGAATCCCGTATAATTCGGATTTACTATACCTCACTAAACTGCTGGCACTGTCAGGATCTTGTGCTGTTACTGTGCCGACAGCAGTCCCGATCTTTGCGTTTTCATAAACTTCCATGACATAGGAAGGCATAGTGAAGAGCGGAGGTTCATCCACATCACCAACAATGATCTTCAACATTGTCACATCCTTGAATGGTCCCAAGTGCGAAAACCGAAAATCAAGGTGAGTATTTGCTCCTTCTATATTAAGTGTATATGATTTCTTTTTTTCATAGTTGAGCGGCTGTTGGCAGAAAAAAAACCCAACACATTTGTCAATGCCATGCTGTGCTTTAGTTTAGGCTGCTAGCAAGCTAACTACATCTTCTCTCTTTAACTTAAACCACATTTCTTCATGCTACTGGAAAGTGACAATATTCTGTGATATTCTGGCAGCCACTGCCATACTTTTTAAGTAGAAGGATATACATGAGGAAGGATGGAAACGTGCTTTCTCTACAACAGAGTTGTGGGCAAGGTATCAGCTTTGGAAAAACTCGTTGTTTAGAATGAATCTCAGACTCCTCTTCTGTGATAATGTAAAGTCTCTGGATTTTATAACACTGTGATTTTTATTGGTAAATGCTAAATACTTAAAAAGTTAGAAACTGATGTATCCCAAATTAAATTGCCTTTTTAATTAACATCTAATAGACAGTAATAGGGATACTAAAATTCTTCTGGGCATCTCTTATCTTAAATCCTCAACTGCAAAAAGCAAGTCTTTGCAGGAAAACACTCATCATACAAACAAGAAATTAAACATGTAAGAATAGCCTAGGCAAGTGCTTGTGTGATTTTCTATATATTCTTATCATATATATATTCTTATCATTTTCTTATCAATTCTTCACCCCTAAGGAGAGACAACTCTCAGTCTGTCTCACCACCTACAGCTCTGCTGCACAGGGATACACCCCAAATGGAAAGAAAGTCTGCAGCCAGGGATATGCCTTCTGCAGGGCCCAATCTTCCAACAAAACGCAACAGAAGGCCCATCCCCAGACACAGCACCCACCAGAAGTGCCACTGCCACTTCAGCATTGCCCTGCTGTTCAAATCAATGGATTCCTACCAGGAATCCCACCTCCCTGCTACGAAGGAAGCAGCTGGGGGTCGTACCCATGTATCACACAGCATGGACACTTTCTTTCTTAGGAGTCTCACTTCTGTCTTGTGAATTACATGTGAAAATTTCATGTTCCTAGCTCAGCTGGTTTTCAGATTACTGTGAGCTAATTTTACTGATTTGGCGTATTTGTTCTAAGCCTACATTGGTACGCTACTACCCTGTCTTACGCACGATATAAGATAAACATGACAAATCCAACTCTCAGCTCCTCCCGCAGCAGATAGTTACACAGCAGGAAGGACTAAAAGGATATTTCACTTAAAAGTACTCAAGTAATGAAGTTCCATTAGCAGATAAAGAATTAAGCAATGTTTTTACCGGAAGCTGTATTTACAGGACCATAATTATTTTTAGTTGGTTTCTTCAGTCTCACTAAATTAACTGACTACTTTTCATAGACAGCCCATGGAAAATTTCATGTGAAAAGTTATTTTTTCAATATATTGTCTGTTACTTCTAATTACTGCAAAGGCTTTAAAAAATACCACTTCAGTTCCAGCCAGTCATAGGACAGATCTCAAATTTCAGATTGCTATCTTTTAAATGTGCTTCTATCTTGAGCAAATGCACCCACTCTTGATAACAGAAAACTCAGTACTTACTGGGTTATAAATTTCTACCTTTAGCCAATTTATAAAGCAGGAGAGGTAGGTTAATGTTTACTACCGTACTGAGCAAAGCAGGCAGTTTGTGCAGGTACACAAATACTACCGCTAAGTTTCCAACAGTCTCAGAACACAGGCATAACACCAAAAGAAGTTGTAGATGTGCAGAATATTTTTTTAGAATCAAAATTATTTCGACATCATGGCATGGCAGAACTCCACTATGACCAGGATCAGTCTGTGTGGACCTGACAACCTGCCTGAACTTAATTCAGTACCAAGCCCTCGCTCAAGGCTGAACTGGTATTTCCTATCACCTCACCAACTGGAAAAGTCCTACTTAAGGCAAGAAATATAAGGAACTCATTGTGTGATTTGTCATTGTCAGTGTGTATTTTATAGATAAAATCTACATTAAATTTGACTGATGACGTATAAGAAAAATAGTTTGTTAGGATTTTTGTATTCTATGTATTTCTTTGATTTCTCCTTTATGTACTGAAGGATAATTAATTCATTGTCTTTTATCTCATAGCATAAGCCTTTTTTTTCTCTTCTGCTTTCTCTGTCTCCCTTTCCTGAATGTAAAAATACCATGATATATTTCTGTTCTGAGCAAGGAAATAATAAATAGTAATTTGCATTGCTCTGCAGCATATATATACTAAGATTAAACAAGCTCACAGTAGGATTGCAAATTGTAACTATGATGCATTTTTCGAAAATTAACTTAAATTTATACTAACAATGACTGGATTAGGTTGTATAAGAAGATTAATTTTTCTCAGAAAACACATGAGAAATAACACAAAGTCTTTCTTTCTTTCTTTTGTGTAGTTATTTGATCAGACAATAATAAACTATTTTTCGTCATCTGGAAATATAAGATCAATCAATTCAGATAATCAGAAAAAGCTAACATTTCAACCATAGCCAGACTAGTTTTTTACTTTATTTTCTTTCTTCTTCTTCCTGTAACATGTCTGAATTAAAGAATTAGATAGTGGGACATAAAAGAGCTTACTGTCCTGCACTGTGACTCACAGAGTTTAAAAAATAACACTATTTTCAACATTGAGCAATTTTAGACAGAAACAGTATTTTGTAGTAAGGATTACTATTACCAGGGATCGCAATCAGTTGTTGTTTTTATTTTTTTTCAATTTTCCTTGTTCTGTCCTGAGGACAAATAAGGAAATCTATAAGCAAAGCAAGCCCTGTGATAGTCCACATTTTGAATAATTCACAAGATCAGTTACAGAATCACAAAATGTCAGGGGCTGGAAGGGACCTCTGAAGACCATTGAGTCTGACCCTCCTGCCACAGCAGAATCACCTTGAACAATTAGTTGTTACATCACTTCTCTTTTTGTTAAAATACTAAAAAACTGAAATCTCACTGGAGTTTGAAGTTACAGAACTGGTTGTTGCTGGGTTTCTGCTTAAACACTGTGCAGGTGTTAAAACTGACATTTATCTTACCTCTGAAGAAGAGACTGGGCCTCCACTTAGAGCCTGCTAATGCTGTGCTAAGAAATTTGTTCCATTACTTCAGGTAATCTGAGCTGTCTACCAGTAGGAGTATTTTACAACCATCTTGCTTTCTTTATAATCTATTAATAATAACTTTCAGTTTAAAGTACATAAGGTATTCTAATTCAGCAAGAGTTTGGGCATAAAAATGATAATGCAAAATTTGTATTTACTATCCCATCAGACTCACTCATTTGAACCTAAAGAGCCAAACAGAAAAATGTGTCTCTTTCCTGTCTGACCCTTTCCTCCCTTCCAAGAGAAGAAAATACTAAAAAAAAAAAGATTTTTAAAGACCCTCACTTGTAATGTGTAAAACCTAAGTTTAAATTCTTCTTTATTTAACTCACAGAGAAGCCTTAAACATGAGTCACTTATCTTGGGGACGAGCTGTAGCTGTAAGAGAGAGGTAGCACTTTCCTGTCTCTATAGAAATCTAGGTAATTTCCAGATTTACTTAAAATTGTCCCAACACTGAAATTATTAACCCTTTCCTGAAAAGAAAAAAAAACACATTTACATTTTAGAGGGATCTAAACAGAATTTTTGTTCATGTTTATTTTCCCAAAGAACAACGTCATTCCATGATAATAAACCACAGTCTTCACTATGTATTCACTGGTTATTGTGATTTTCACACAAAACTGAAAATACTAAATGCAGCTCAAGTGACCAGTCACAAGGCTCACTGGAAAACACTACTGGTCATTACACTGTATCTTGTGTTTCTAATATCAGACGCCCACAAGGAACATCAGAATTTTATGAGAATAGCTGTTTCCTGAACATTTCCAGTCTCGTACAAAATGGAAGAGACACGGCCTGTTCCAACCACTTTTTCTGGGCAGTCTGAATGATACCCGCTGACCTGAAATTTGGAAAGTTCCAGCATACTTCTCTGAAAGTCACCACAAAAGGGGAACATGCTGACTAGTCATTCTCTGAAGGATCCAGAGTAATGACTTGTTTCCATGTCCTCTACTCCCCCACTCAAACCAAGGAACTGCATGTGGCAAAGGGGAAATCCTTCCCAACGGTTTACAACCAACCCTTTGGGGCAGGGTCTCTGAGACAGAAGGGTGGCTCCGCTGCGCTTTTCAGTAGGGGGACTAACGGAAGGAAGGACTGGATGTTTTGGGTCAGCCCAGAAGGAGACTAGAAAAGATCCTTTCCAACACTCACAGATTTTGCATGGCTGTTGAACAGCCTAGCACTGAGGTGCTGGGAAATTTGATTTTTGAATCAGAACCTCAAATAAGTGAAGTTTCAAAAGGTTGGAGGAGGATTTCAGATCTTCAGGTACAATAATGTATTTCTTCCAGCTCTTCTATTGTGCCTACTACATATTTTTCTAGAGAAGTACCAGACAAAAAATTATTCTATTCTATTGTTATAGAAAATACTGGCATCTGATACATGAAACAAAACAAATTTTGTTCTTAGTGGAGATTATGTATTTCAGGTAGGCTACCAGCTTCAAACCCATCTGAATTAAAATTAATTATGGCACACAGTATATAAAATACTTACCAAGCTGCATACAAGATCTGAGCAAAAAAAACAATTAAAAAAATGAGATCACCTTTTTGTACTGTGCAGGCGAATACTGTTAACTTCTCTTAGGAAGGACTGGAGGTTTTCCACACCAATTTATTATGTAGTTATAAGTGCTGCACTTGCGCTCGACAGAAACATAACATCACTTAGGTAAAATGTAGCCCTTCTTATCTTGATGTGAAAATGACTCAAATCCCTGTCGTGTATGTGTAAGAACAGGCAACATATGCTTTTGCCATATTCTGAAACAGCAAAAATCTCTCTGTGGCTAGTTTTGACTGCCAAAACCACTAAGAAGTGTGATTTTACACTTTTTATGTAGTGAGTCTTATTTTGCTGCAAACTTTTCCTTTCTGCTTCATGTTCTCAATATGCATAAATGCTGTATTTAATGAACAATAGTCATGGTGAACTTTTAAACATAGGATAACACTCATTTTGAAGAAAAAATAACACGTTATGGTTTTGGCTACATCAAGGTCACCAAGAATTAAGTTCAGTGGTATAACAAAGATAGAGTTTACATGTATGTGGCTGACACAGGTGGGTATTACACACTCTTAATAAAAACCACTGAATTAAAGCTTTTTAAGACACTGGGAGAGATGAGAAGTCTTTTAAAATTATTATGAACTATAAAAATAACATTTCCTTCAGTTATATTTTTTAAGATGTTAGATAAAAATTTACATACATATGCATCTATTCAGATGCAACCCCCCTCCCCATTCTTTAGAACAGTTTCTATTTTATTTTTCCACATTTTCTCTGGTTTTCAGTCCCCCTACCACTATGCATGCCCGGAATATATATTAACAAACACGAATACAACTTTGTTGTTATTTTTGAGGCTGTACGGATGTAATTGATGCCTACAAGACTCAGCAAGAGCAAATCCACGTGAGAATTGCTAACTGATGTCTGTTAGTCCAAGTGAAAACTGAAAACAAAAAATTATTTCTCTTTGTTGGAGAGGTTTTTTCAAATTTTTACTTAAATATATTAACCTGTTTCTCTTATTTATTATAAAAATAAATTTAAATCTAACCATAGGATATCAGCATAAGTTGGCAGAAACTGCAGGTAACATTCCCTATGAACTCAGTTCAGAGGACTTAATAAGGAGACAAAATTATTTATGGAATTAGATTTGTGCATGGAATTCAGTTAAGAATGAAATTAAATGGCAAAACCACTATATGATTAATAGTTTTAATAGACTGGGATACATACAGGAAATTAATATAAATAATAACTGTGTGACAGCTTGACCAGTTATATTTTGAGTCTTTATAAACCAGTTGGTATTTACATTCAACAGTGCACAACACCAGGCCATTTAGATGGCAGCTGGCAAGTAAGTAAAAAAAACCAAACCAGTCTATGAAAACAGAATTAGACTTCATTGTCACAGATTAACGTTCTATGTCAAGATTCGTGCAGTCTGAGGACAACAGTACAACTTTCAGCCATATGTTACGTCTTTTAAAGCAATTTAACGTACAAAAACATAAATAAAAAAATTATATTATCTTAATAAAAATATAGTAAATTTAGTTTATTATAAATATTAGTTATGACTGTTCAAAAAGCACAGAAGATTTAAATAACTGTTTCTTTCCTTGAGTTTCTTTTCTCCCCACCTTTCCTGCAAAGATTTAGTGTCTCACAAAGCAATGTGGAGCAGCTTACACTCTTGAAGTTCACGGTTTAATACATTTATGCAGTAAAATACTTTCAACATGGTATCTGCTTATTCAACACACATCATATTTTAATTAAACACACACAGAACTTTCAAAGCCTGTTGCTTACCTTTTTCAGGGAAAGAATTCCTTCCCTTGTTTCTTTGTCAGTAGATATGGAGAACACCCCAGAGCCATCACCATTTATAATTGTGTACTTCATGTCTGCGTTTGAGCCAGTGTCAGCATCATTTGCTTTGATTTTGCCAACTGCTGATCCAACTTGAGCTGACTCAGGAACATACAGCTGATAATGTTCTGAGGGGAAAAAAAAACAACAACACAAGAGCTTGGATATTTTCTAGTCAAACTAAAGAACTGTTATGTGCTTGAATCACTTCTTGAGTAACTGGAAGAGTATTTCATATGCAAAATTGACAAGTAAATCTATGGACTTACTTGGATTCCTAAAAAATCTCAAAAAGGAATTGTATTTTACTTAGGATGCCTTCATTCCCTATGCAAAATCCGAATTACCTAATGCATAATTTTGTTTTTCGCAGTTATTTTTGCAATTCAATACATAACTGGCAAGTACTTTAGAAGATTTTCTTCTCCATAATCAAGATATATTTATCTTCACCAACTTACCTTCAAATAAAGAGTAAAAGGAGCACTTTCGAACTGGAAAATCTTCGTATGTTACAATTTGTTTTTTCTGAAATCTGATCAGTTTTGCAACATTGCATCAACATTTTGCAACACTGAATCAAAACATACTTTTCTATAAAAAATGTAATAGATTTTATTATTTTACCATTATCACTTTTCAGAGTTCTTGTTGCAGCTCAAATGGCTTTGAATACAAATTTTAATTGGTATCCACAGTAAGGGAAAATGAACAGAGAGCATTACACAACTATGCCCATGAAAAGGATCCAGAACAACGAAGATATCCTTTCAGTGTTAGGTTAATCATTAGAAAATGATTTTTTTTTTGAAAGATAATTAACTGTCTCTATCCTTTTGGATTAAATCTCCTAACAAGTACACAATTGACATGAGAACAGGAAGGTGCCACACAAGGAGAAAAAAAGGCGACAGACACAATGTGACAACATGAACCTCAATTTCCATCTGAAACTAGTCCAGAAAGACAGCTCAAATAAGTTTTCTCCACTAATGCTGTGCTGTAACACAGCAGGGATGCTGAAACCCACCAGCGCTGAAAAGAATACACATTCAACAGAAGGCCCGCACATGCCACCCACCCTTCCCAACCAACCCCCCATCCAAATCCCTCCCCAATAGCCTGCCCACTTTGCATCACAGGCCACTGACCAACACAGAATTACTAACTTGTGTCACTAACTAGAATTACTAACTTGTGTTACTACATATCTTCTGAAACTCTACAGAGTTACTTCTACATTCCTCATAGGCACTCTGCGATATCGAACGCACGAACACGACACTGACGTGCAGGACAGTGGATCAGAAGACACCACATATCAAAGCCAACATGTTGTTAGTTTGCCGAGTTTAAACCAGCTGGCTGACTGCAGAGGTGCCCTTGGTAAGCATGTAGACAAGAACGGCAAAATTTAAATTTAATTCAAAGATTAAACTTGAATTACAGCAGAAAAAAGTATTTTTAATGGACTGAAGAAATTATAAATCTACAGAAGTTGCGATTGCAGAGGGAATGGAAGTTACCACTAAAATACAACTAACTGTAGACATCTGTTAGGAAATAGAAGATTTGATTTTAAAATTGTCTAATTCCTTGTACAATGGTTCCTAAACCTATGTAGAGTCCTGATTTTTATTTTTTTTTAATACTAGCCCACAATACTAATAAATAACTACTAATGTAAGAAGGATGGATGAGTATAGTATTGGTTAGTCCAAGGAAAGAGAGGTTTCCCAGGAAAACAAAAAATAAGTTACCACACATTAGGGAAAACAAGAAATGTCCAGTAGAACAAGAGAAGAAGTATAATTTACTAGGTAAAAAAGAAAATATAAACACTTATGTAACAGGAAAATTGCCTGGTAGTTGATTCAATTAAAACACTTAGTTAATTCTCTGATACAATTCTTTGACATGCATATAAAAGCCATCTTCACAAAGTTCCAAATAAAGGCCCTGCTGTGCATTCTTTTGCAATGCTTCGTGCTTACAGACGATGTCAGCTGACAATTTCAAATTGCTGGTTGCTTTATTACATACATAAAATTATAATGATGGGATGACATTCTTCTTGGAATTTACTTAGTGTTAAAATAAATGTGAAATGTGGTCTTTTGGCACTTTCACTCTGACTAACGCATTCTAAAAAGGAAAAGGTTGAGGACATAAAGAGTATGTTATTTAGAGGCCATAAAGAATGTTATGTAATCAAGCCACTTCATGAACTGGAAGTGTTATAACCCACATGATAGGGTGAACTAATTAGAGACTTCCAAATAGTCAAGCTAGTTCAAATATATCCACACAACACTATACTCTGTTTTTTAATCACACCCCAAGTGTTAGCCATCTGTTTCAGAAAATCATTTTACTGATACTAGCTTCAAACATTCTGAAACACTAAAACTTCAAGCAAAATAAGTATATGGTATCACTCACTGTCAGTATCTGTAAAAGTGAAATATTAAAAAAAAAGATGGAATGAAAACCGTTAAAAAATAAAAGATCTTAAGATCATATGGTCAAAAATGTCTCCCAACATGTATTTAACCACTGCTTCACAGAGACAGCCTGAGGACGTCTCAGACACACATAAACCAAACAGATAACTACAAAAAATAGTATCCAAAACGAACAAACACAGAGAATGATGAAATTCAGCAAGATTAAGACATTTATTTAGACTTTTGGTCAAAATTGGAAATGTTCTTACCAAACACTAAATCACTGTAAATTTTATTACTGTAAAGCACAGGAACTGATAAGAGGCTGAACATTTCCTTGGGCATTGAATCAATTTTGACAGCACATTAAAAATCATGTGGGACATGCATGCTGTGAACTTCTGATTTTTTTTTTATGTTAAGCTTTGAGTCTGTCTCAACCCTCTAAAAACTGGTAGGGACGTTAGGAGCCCTAAGGATAAGGCACTAGTCTGCATCAAAACTGTTTCACCAAATCTGCTCAAGTTGAACAGATTGTTCCCACGCTCCCAGCATTGCAGCCTTCAGCAGCTGTTGTAAAACAGAAATTTCCAACAGTCTTAGGGACGCTCTACATTGTTCTAGAGGAGCTGTCCCATGTTTTATGGATCAAGATTCTGTAGAGGCTGATTTGATTCTACATTGTTAAGATTCACTCAGATGCAGTCGCTTAGCTCATGAAGTGAGTAAATTAATACTCTTTTCCAGTTAATGTACCATACAGAGTAGTCATACCACTTTGCAGGACTTTATGCTAATTGAAACATTGTTCAAATACATACAGATAATCTTCATCTTTATTTCAATAAACTGTATGACTGTATCTGTCACTAGAGTAGAGAAACAACTTATTGATCCATAGAACAATTTACTTCTCATTTCAATTAGCCTACAGGCAACCTGTAATGCTGTGTTTTACTCTCAGAAAAGCAATTTCTCTGAATCGTTCAAAAAAAAGAAGTATGACAGTATTTAATGCAACTTAATAAGCATGTTATTCACTGCATTTTATTCATTAATCTATTTTGTTGATAATTTTGACTTACTTTTTATAGGTTATAATGTCCTCTTAAACAGTAGGAATTACCTTACTTAACAAAAGAAGGGAGGAGAGACATAACACTGAATTAACAGAGAAGTAAATATTTGGCCTGCTTGTTATTTCTGTATCCAAGGTATAGTTTTAGTAACATGAGGATAAATACTGCTTCGTAATGAATCAACAGATGCATTCCCTCATACATCACAGCTCGTACACTATCAGTTTCTGTGTTTAGAGAGCAGTGTTCAGATAGACACTTTGTCTATCTTCTAGCAAATTGATAAACACAGCAAATGATTGCCTTAACATCAAATACCATCATATCCTAGAAGTTTATCAAAGTGCTATGCAACGGAAGTTTGTCTGAACCTACAACTACAGAAATACTTGGCCAAACTGGTAAGATCTGGAAAACAGATGGACAGAGTGTGAAGCTCAAACTCTGATGATTATGAGCACAAAATTCAACTGGCAGCCAATTAACAGCAGCTACTCAGGAATCAAAACTGTGGTCAAAATGACTTAACGTCTCAATTAATGACCCGAGCAATGGGCTGCATGTACTCATAGCAAGTGAGCTGACAATAGCAACTTGGGAAAAAGAGGTCAGTATACCGGAGGGCAAGGCTGCTGTTCAAAGGGCCCCGGGCAGGCTGGAGAAATGGGCTGACAGGAACCTCCTGGCGTTCGGTCATGGCACAAGGGGAGGATTAACGCCGTTCATCAGTGCACACTCGGGGCCAACCATCTGTGAAACAGCTTTGCAGAAGATGACTTGAAAAGGACCTTTCAAAAGCTGACAAAGTCCAAAGCAACTTCATTTAACTGAACCTGTTTTAAGCAAGGCTTGGGGTCAGACAACGTCCTGGAGGTCTCACACGGATCTCTGTTCCTGTCATCACAAAGTTATGGCTCATGTTTTACTGTCAGCCATCTCTGATAAAACTGAAGTGCAGCTCCAACCGTGGACTGTGCTCAGTCTTGCTCCATGGCTTTCTACCACAAAGTTATTCTTCGTTCACAAAAATGTAGTTCCCCGTCCCTCTTGAACGGAGAGGCCAAGAACTGGACACGATATTCCAGATGCGGCCTCACTAGGGCAGAGTAGAGGGGTCTCTCGACCTACTAGCTACTCCTCTTCTAATCCCCAGGATGCCATTGGCCTTCTTGGCCACGAGGGCACGCTGCTGGCTCATGGTCACACCAGGACCCCCAGGACCCTTCCCTCTACGCTGCTCTCCAACAAGTCAAACATTCTGATTGCCTTGAAACTCTGGAAAACCTAACACTCTCAGCTCTATTTAGAAAAAAACCCCAATTTTCTTAAGATGCAATGGACTCCTTTGGCTGGAAGAAGGCCTGTGCATCTCCATACCTCTGCTTTTTGTATCTCAGTGCAAACTAGGAGTTATGTTTGCAATTAAGCTTGTAATCAGTGACACCTTTACGTTTCATGCAACTTTGCCTTTACAGACAGTACCCAAAAGGACTTGGAACTTTCTGAGGAATTCTTAAGGATCAAAAGTCTTCTCACTTTGAAAAGTTTATGCTAGTCATGGGTAAAAGCAGAAAGAAAACTGAGTTTACTGGATTTTCAGAT